TATTAATATCATCAATAAAGTGTCTCTTATACTTTATGATTCGGTAGATATTAGATTTATATCATATGTTATGTATTTATTATGTTAGACGGTAACAGTTTATGAAATATGACGTAAGAAAGCCCAAATTTAAAAAAAAACTTTACATATGAATATAATAAATAATAAACATATCGAGGAAGAAGCCTGACGAAATAAATTGTATCTGCACCAAATTGCTATTTCATCTATTTAAGACTCATTAGTGGTAACAACGATAAAAAGAGTGAACTTACATATCAATGTACGCCAATAAATACGTACAAATTCAGGAGAGAGGGAAAGTAGTCTAATATGTATGATGCAACTTAAAACACTAAATACATGGTTGGTTGGTTGGTTGACGGGTTTTTCGCCTACATGAGTCCACCCATGTCTAAACACATCGTCCATATACACTATTATCCTAGGGATGTTAAAAATTGCAATTTTAATCATTCTCTTACCAGATTTTAAAAGTTGTTATTTGAACTTAATCTAGTTTACTAAGTTATCATACACTAAACTAAATTGATTATATGCGCTATTTCGCGCTCATTTTTCTCTTGTTCTTGTATTAAATGTGGAGCACCAAGGCTTCGAAGTTAGCACAGAAGAAAACAAGTCCGGAGTATTATCTAGTCCTGAGGCAAATTAGCCAAGATTCTGATGTTAGGATTCGTACATAAAATACACAACTCTCACTCTACGTTCTTATAAATACTAAATGTTAATATTAAGGTAATCACAAGTTTTACTACAATACACAATATGTACAGTCCCTGATCTGTTTAAAGTAGTCTCCTCACAGTTCAGCTGTATGGAGGCACTTAAAAAAGAAAGGTAAAACATATTTTACTTGCATTATCTTGCTACAAAATAATTACAAATTGCGATCCATTTTAACCAATTAAAATGTTTGATATCATTAAGAGTTATATTGCAGAGAGGTACATATTTACAAACAAATACCGCTACCTGTTGTGCAATGGAACATTCCCTGTTTTATACCGGTAATCAAGAAGTCCAGGAAATATTTTCTTTAAAAAAAAAGAATTTATCATTGATTCATATTTCTGTGATATATAACTCTTTGGTATAACACCTTAAGGTGATTGTTGTGCTTTGATCATGCGTGATAATGTGATAGTGATATTTCATCGTCTGTCAACCTCAAATTTACGATCATACGCTAACTCAGACCCATGAAAACCGATCTTATTTCCTGAAATTGACAGAAGACACAGCGAAAGTCGCCATATATGGTGACGGAAAATCTTACCGTTCCAGAGCACCAGGCTTTGTATCCGTTATATTTAAGGTTCTTGATGTTATTCCGGTTGTTTTGATATCTGAGTTTGTTATTGGCTGTATATTGAATCCGTTGTTTCTATTTTTATGGTTTGCTTACCCTTCCGGAACGCCTGGTCTTATTCTCCTTGTACTCTGCAGTGGTGTCCGTGTTAATCCGTCCTTTTCTAATATTTTGCCATACTTTCATTCATTTTGAATTCAAAGAACGGGTTTGTTTACATTTTGTTATTATCATATATATTTTCAACCAACAGATATTAGTTCTTTTACTTTGGCTACCATTTGCCAAGCTTAGCAAGCGATACTTCTGGTTTCATAACTTGATGACTTTATTGAATAATACCACGTACTATGTGTAAAGGAAAACATATTTTTTATTAGAATGGACAATGTTATTCGATAGGATGATTGTTCATTGTCAATGGCATGCTTCAGTTTCATTTCTATTGTTATTAACTTTATCAAAACAAGCTTGTTTTTGAGAATAAGTATAACATTTTGTCTGTATTGATTCATTCTAATAAAGATAACATTGTAAACTTACTCATCCACTTAGTCATGTTCATTTGTAGAGTAATCAAGGCTACGTATCGAATTGGTCTGGCTGGATAAATAGATGTATAAATCTAAAATTAACCTCATGGATTTCTTGTTAAAAGCGTTGTAGAATGTAACCACTTACATGTAAATCTTGGATATGCTTAGTGTGCTTGTACATGTCTTCCCTTCAGAGCTCTTCCAACATTAGCTGAACATGTTAGGTGATTTTAATCTGTATATGCGAAAACCTTTACCAACGATGATTGGTAATCATATTTTGTCAAAACTTTAATTTCTAAATTTTAAAATACTCTGAAAAAAATTCGTTTTGTTGCAATTTCCAGCAGAGAGAAGTTCCAGTTTGCTAAACATGTTTCTGACTCACATATGGTTTCCCATTCACTTGATAAAAAAGCAAAATAGCTGCGGGTATGTATTAAAGAATAGGAAAGACCTTCTTACCGCATCGACGAAAAATGTAGTTGGAAGAAAGAAAATATTATTGAAAAAATCTAGTATAAAAACTGTAAACGTTATAATCTATTACTAAATTGTACAGGTGTAGTCACTTGTGCATTTGTCTCGTTCATCTTTCACAAAGATGTTTGGGTTTTAAGATTACAAGTGTTACCTATGGCTTCATATATTTCTAGTAAAACACAAAACCGTTCTTAAATCAAACACTCAAACTCGTGATTATTATTAAGTGAAACGTTTCTTTGCAGAGTAAATTAAGACGTTTACAGGTTCATGTGAAGTTATTTTTATTTTGCTTTGCTATTTATCATCGGATATTGTGTTATTCTGATTAACACTTGTATGTCCAAATAGGTAAGCGTTGGTCCTCTAATACCTTTGTTATTTTATGCATATAGATTATTAAAAATCTATGGACATAATTGTTATTGTCTGTTGCAGTAAGAGATTGGAATTGGTCTCGTATCTATTTGTCATGCAGAGGTCATAAAAGCTTTATTAAAATCGCATTTTCATTTGGATCTTGCAATCAGATTTAATTGATATCAATTTCTTTATGTTACTGTTTATAAGACAAACTTGACATATATGACTGCTTTAAGACATGGCAATATATATCTTGAATATACTCTTGACAATACCAGATGAAACCAAAGCAAGCATATCTATATTCACAAACCTGCATTTGTTTTAATGTAATTTTTGGACATTTATGATGCAATTTGCAAATATTATTGAAAAATGTCTTTTCTCTTATAGTAATCTTTGTTAATAGCTGTAACAGCCTACCGACAATGCCTAACTCTGTGCTGTAAATGATAGCAATCTATAAGTACACTGATAAGTACTTCAGTTTGCTGAAATAGAGTTTATGTAAAGTAGAATGTATATAAAGTCTTTGTAAAGAGCATATGAGATACCCTAACTCAATCTCTATTCAACAAGTTAGATAAACGTAAGATATACATACAAATGTATGGGGTAGCAGCTTAAAGTTTGATAATAGATCCATTTATGACGACATAATTGTTTAGGACAAGAAAAGTACAAATTTGTCAAGTTTGCCGAAGTGACAAAAATCTTTGTGAATTTGTTTGCTCGGAACTTCAGCTGTATTCAGTTCTTAAAATATTACAAAGTTAAACATTTTCATATTTGAATATTTGTTAAACAAGGTGTTCAATATAAGAGTGAGAGTGGGCTTCGATCTTGATTGACGCTGTGAAATCATATACACTCGTTTCTGTCTTTCCGTGATCTGACACTTCGTATAGAAATTGATTTTGCGAGAAAAATGGGAGCAGTTAGATTGATTTTTGTCGGCGTAAAACACACAAGTCACACTAAATCCTGGCAATTCTCCATCACACTGAAAAACCGCATAATCTACATGCGATGTTAAATTAACAAATAAGTCTGTTTCGGACATACTAGACATATGTTTCTATTTGTTTTCTTTGTATTTGAATTTATGTTATAACGAACAGCATTAATGTTAATGGAAGCTTATTATTCGTATGTCGATTTTTAACTTCTAATTATATATTAAAGTTCTGATGCATTCGTATTATCCTGAAACCGTAAAAAAAAAATATAAGAACAATATAGCATTATAGTTGTCATTTCCTTTCTAAAAGATTTTATTGTTAATATGCATTCGATACCAATATGTGTTATATGTGTAGCTATTAAAGTGTCGCAATTCTGTTTTTTCCTGTTTTGGGGAACACAGGAAATATGTGTCTTAAGTCCTCGACATTTGAGTGATACATTTTGGTTGCTGAATCCACAATTGGTCTGTAATTGTTGTTGTTTTATCGTAACCCTATCTTGAATAACGAATGCACCATTAGCAGTAGTCAATATTCTTGTTTAATATTTGTGTTAATCAATTTAGCACCATTTAAATGTTTATTACATGACAAATGAAGCAGCGCTTATAAATGTGATATGTTATATATCATATATATGTATATATTATTTTAATATATTACGAAAAAATTACATTTTGTTTGGCGTCCCGTTCTGATGTTACAATGTAAGTATTGAATTATAACAATTCCATATTGAACTAGAAGACAACATTTTGCTATGGCGGGCAATCAAGTACTGTGTTTGTTTATTCACGTGTTGTCCTGACGTCGCCGAATAATCAATCCCAGGCAATTGTACATATCATCCTATTCTTTTTTACTTTTGCTAGGTATAAGTTTCTCTAATGTTTAACAATTTGTCAAGAATGCGGTTATATTTATAGGTCACGGATACAATGATATTTTCTTAGAATTGTTTTACAATGACGATTTTGCAAATATAAGAAATGTGAAAAAGGTTCCATTACAATATTAAGAAATTACAAATTTACATTAGTTCTGAATTCTAAATATTGAAATTGTATCCTTTCAGTTTGCTGTTTTTGATTTATAGCACCGTCCGTACTCATATAATCTTGGCAGTGCAAGGACGTTAACGACCTTTAAATATATGAATGTTTGCCCTATGCACCTCGATGGTGAATGTGACGTCTTTACATCAATGACTAAATGTTGCCTATACTATATTCTGAAATACTTGCGTTTATTTTACCAGAGACCTGATCTGTATAGACATTACTTTAAATGTTCGATATAAAGGAAATTAATAAATAAATATAGAGTATATAAATTTATTCACAAATGAAAATGAATACTCAAAGCACATATATTCAATACAGAATGTCCAACAATCACCTATGACGTCAGAGGAAAAGACAAAATGTAACTTAAATATCAATCGGTGCTATTTCATGGCCACATTCTTTATTTGTAGACTGTTCATTCCTTGGTTGGTAGATCCGGGTACAATAGGTGGCTTAGCTGTCTTTAGGCTGGAGGAGTCTTTGCTGTTCTCGGAGTCGGAACCACTTCCCGACTTTCCTTCGGCGTGGGTTTTTGCATGTTTAGCTAAATGATCACTGCGCATGAACCGTTTGTTACATACGGGACATGCGAACCTTTTTTCTCCGGTGTGCGTGCGCAAGTGGCGCTGTAACTCGTCCGAGCGCGTGAAACGTTTTCCACAGAAAAGCCAGTTACACACAAAAGGGCGTTCGCCTGTGTGCCATCTTAAATGAGCTTTTAAGTGAGAAGATTTCCCATAAACCTTTCCACATCCGGGAATATGACAACTATGAACGTTTTTCTTCCTAAGATGAGCACCAGCTGGTCCGAGTCTCTCAGCCTCTTGACAGTTAGGGCAATCACAAGAGGGCCGACCACTGTAACGTCTTGATGAACGCGATCCAGGAACTCCGGATATTGCGGGACGTGATAGGAAGTTCGGCACCGTTGACGCACCAATGTCACCTTGTGTGGGTAACATTGATTTGTAAGAGTCTTGCAGAAGATGCTGACCCGACGATAGAAAAGGGCCGGATCCCGAACTGAGAGGGTGATTCAACGGATACTCAGAACCGGAATAGTTAGCTGATATCTGTGAATGAAGTCCAGAAGCAGTTCCAGTCATATCCGTCAGCCAGTTGGACGGATTCGAATGCATATCCCACCATGATGATGCATGATTGACTGATGACGTCATTTCTGTTTTGATACCGTGAGTATTACCGCCTGCAACATTGAACGGCCATGACTCATAAGGGTGTGCGGTGACCCCGGGCACCCGGGAATACATCGAACTCAGTGAAGAACCGTTTAATCCGCTATCACAATGCATTTTGTGTAGTAAAGATGACTGAGTATTATCCGTTTGCGCATGCGTACTTGGCACAGGGTATAAAACGTCACTTCCGTAACCTGTACCCGTACAACTAGAACTAGTGGTACCTCTAGCATATGAGTATCCCGACGAGGAACAGTTTGGAGAGCTAGTTAAAGCTGACATTCTCTGAGAGTTAAGTGTTATAGGACAGGGAGCACTCATGATGGGAGGAGAACGTTTCCAAGGGTGAAAACCTTTACCCACGGCGGCGTCTGCTAGGGGCGGTGGACTTTTGTCGTTGATTTTATTACACTGCGCTGCTAGCATAGCCAACGGCGTGCCTCCGAAAGGATGAGCGTCCTGAAAGAAAAACAATGAAAACACAATTAAACAAATAACGTTTATTTGGTTTAAACTTTTTAAACTATTCTGTTTTCTTAAATATGTGGATAAAAACTGTTAAAAGAGGATGATTCAGCTGCAATGGCGTGGTTACCATGATCGTGTATCCCACGCTATTTTTAAATTTAATTTTAGTTTCTTCAAAAACTGTTTGTTTTGACAATGCCGCTTATCATTGAATTAACTAGCAAATGTTATATCTTAATGTTTCATTAGTCCTTTAATTCTGAAACTAATAAAAATTGTTCGTGTGCTTGATAGCTTATGAAAAATGAAGCCCCTAGCATACATTTCTATTTTTGTGAAATAATAAAGCTATTTAGATGTAAGGAAACAAAGTTATTTTGATCAAGATACAAGGAATAAACAAACAAACAAGAGCTTTCTAAAAACGTATTAAATACCACATTCTGGGCTATTGAAATAAATTATTCATTTAAGGAAATATCATTAGCAATGTGGCAGAGAAATTGATGAGGTTGCAATTCATAAAACGGATATATACTAAATATTCCAGGCTTTATGATCGTAAAGACGATTAAAATCAATTAACTAACAAAGGCATGACCCAGTTGCTGACGTCATCATCATTATGACGTTAAAATTGCACTGTTGAATAACCATGACCCTACCTTGAAGATCGTTGTTTTATTAGTTTAATATATACATACGATATATACATTTATTGAAGCCAGTTGCTGAGTATTAATTTAATTTAATTTTAATTTTAATTAATTTTGTTTAAAAGCCTTCATTTGTTTGTAACAATATTTTGTCTAGATATTCTCTTGGAAAGTGTTCGTCTTTTAATCAACCTTTAAGGAACAACTGTTATTTTGGGAAACACCTAGCTCACTATTATGTACCAAATTCACCTAGTACTGACATGCCAACCAGTTTCTATAAACTCGATATACATTTATGTACATATATTAACATTTCTTTGTTCATAATGACAGCGAATTTGCCATTTGTGTATTCTTTGATGTTCAATGGGTGTGGCTTTTCAACAGTGGTGAAAACAAAATCGTATCATTTGATAAGATTATGAGCCAATATTCAGCACACAACAGATGTGGTTCATTGAGACAATAGTAATTTGTAAACACTTCAATCAATCAGCTTATTTTCCGATTGATGAAGAGGGTTTCACACGGCTATGTTCCCATAAGTTATCAACTGATGGGGTGGTTCGGAATAAATTATCAGAAAATTCTGGCGTTTCTAATTTGTCGAATGGAGTTTACTTGTCATCACTTTATACAAATTTCTCCTGAAATTTATTGTCCTTAATATGATTAGTTTTATCCTGCCGCCTTCTCTTATTGTATTGAAATAATAGAAGTAGATATGTATTCATCTTCAAACCTCCCTTTTTTATTAATTGAAATTTGCGCGTGCATGTCTCATAGAGGCTTACCCACAAATAGGATGTGAACCCTTTTAGTACCAATGGTATTTGATTTGCTTTGACTGCCTGCCGAATCCAGGCTCATTTTGCAAAAAGCAGTTGCTATTAATTTGATGGGTTTGAGGCATATTTCTTCTCTAACAATACAATGGTAGACATTAGGATGATTCCACACGCTTGATGAGATTTTATTACAGCTAAAGTTGAAATGCAATATCGCCTGCTTTCCAAAGGTCTGCAGCAATGCCTTTCCCTTTTCCGTATGACTTAAAGACAATCTGTTTTATATGGTATCATCCCGTTCGTTGTCAATCTGTTCTTTAAGTAGTATTAGTAACAGCGGGTGTATAGGGGTCGATATGGTAATAAGCCTGTCAGTGTATAACGATATAATAATATTTCAGTTCTGGCAATAATTAATTGAGATATGTCCTTCAACTCACAAGAACTAAACTAAATTAAATGATTAAATTATCTGAAATAATACACCAGAAAATACACTCATTCAGTGTAAGATTAATAAAAATAACTCCTGTTATGAGGGATATGAAACCTTAAAGATAAAATATTTAAAGAGTTTTCGAAAAGATAATAAATTAAAAATAATCTCTGACAACGATTTTGGAAAATCAGCAAATAATTAAGAGGTAAATTTAAAATGTTGATCAACAACAAGAAAAATAAACCGCTTCTTCATATACAGAACATTTTTATCAAACTACTGAATAGTTTTTTAGACTGAATCATTTCAACAACTGAATTAGTTTATCATCTGAATAATTTCATTAATTTACTAAATCGATTTTCAACAAACTGTATCTTTTCAAATGAATTGTTCCAAGAATAACTAATCCTTCCGTTACATCGACTGAATTATTTCATCAACTAGCTGAATCGTTTCATAAAAAGTGTCGTTTCATATCTGAATCGTTCTATCAACTAACTGAATTATATCATCAAATAAGTGAAAATATACAACAGCTTAGTGAATCTTTCCAACAAAATCTATTTAATAAGTAATACCCAGTGATAAATTATAGTAAAGTCATGCCATCAACTGAACCGCTTCATCAATGAACGTAATTATTTCATCGATTACTGAATCGTTCAATTAACATGTTGAATATGTATCGTCACCAAGTGCATCATTTCATATAAACTAACTGAATCGACACACAAACTAACTGAATCGACACACCAGCTTACTTAAACGAATCAGCAACATACTTAATCTTTATGAAAACTTAGTTAAGCAAGCAAACTCGTCACTTTGCAAACTGTTATACCATGTATTGTCATCAACCGTATCAACCCAAAATGTTAAACATACATGAATTTATATAAACGCTTAGTTGTTTGTTTGTTTGTTTGTTGTTGTTGTTGTTGTTGTTGTTGTTGTTGTTGTTGTTGTTTTTCAATCTGTACGAGTTATTTCTGAACTCTTAAAACTACTCCTCTTTTCCTTCTACAGATGTTTGTCAACGTGCGTTCAGTCCACAGGTCCTTTATGAGGGACTATACTTGTAATGATCCACGAAGAGCTCTATAAGGTGGACAGAGACAAAACCTCCTTTGGGAATGTGCATTACTAGCTGAGAACCGTATCGAGGTTTGCACGGAAGACCGGTAGCTCCACATTTCCCTGACATGCCCACACTAACTCTAAGGTGTGCTGCGTATTATTTTGAAAATATATTATTGAGAATAAACTTCCACAATTGTGTATATATTCATGTTTTTTCTATTTGTTTGTGCCGCTCCATAACACCTCTGGGATTACACATTTTTTCATACCGGAAATCGAATCGGTGTCTGAAGCTTAATACTCTCTTGACCCACCAGCACTGAATATGAAATTAACCGCATGTTAGCATTACAATACTTATTATTATTAAGATTAAAACTGCCATATTTTATGGTTATGATAATTCCTAAAAACAAATATGAAAACTGCTTTGTAAATCCACTCAGTATATTCCTTTGGTGCACAGACTTTGACAAATGTTTTTCTTGGAGGGTCAGAAGACCATGCCTGACTAGTTATGGTCAGAATGTTTTATTTTTTTATTTTTTCACTAAGTACATGTTAAATATACCCCACCCTGACCGGAGCCGTGGCTCTGGTCATACTTTGTGAATAAGCAGAGACGCTGTCACCACTTCGTAACACTACACTCAATGACATTCTGATAATAGGGCGGTCTGAACAGAGGTGTCGACCCCCATCCGCCTACCCTGGAGATTTCTCATACACGATATTCATGTCGACGTAAATACAATTCCGGAATTTGTTGTCCGGAATTTATTTAGGATTCTGTTTATAATCACATTCAAATATCTTAACAATAATTATTTGGAATTTTGGTTTGTGCTATTTTGTGCAAGACACCAAATACAGTTATGTTGTCAAGTTCTTACTTTACTGCATATTGAATAACGTATTTGTTAATGTAAAACTCTTAAATGCATTCTAATGAGGATTATATCGGATTCACAATATAAAAGAAAGGTTGATACTCTTTAAACTTGTAATTCTTTTATTATTATTCATATTATTGTGATTATATTTGTCGTAATCAAATGTTATTTTCAACAAGTACAAATATACATGAGCAGGCAATTAAAATAGTTTATAAAGTTATCATTTTCCCTTATAAATAGGTGGGTAAAATTAATTGTCAATTGATAACTGAACTGTTTTATAATGTTGGTCAATTATAATTGGACAAAGCATATAACCAATGGTCACAAAATCAGAAGTCAAGTCGACACAAAAACAACAACAAAAACAAGCGGAAACAAGGAGTGGGAGAACCAGGTGATCCAGGTGATTAAGAACCCAAGCAAAACAGGGTTGCTGTAATGATTTCGATTGATGTTTATCTGTGAAACGGCAACATAATTACGTCTTGTTCTAGAAATCCGACAGTAAAACTGTTTGATGATAATTGTCCTGTCACGTTATATATACAAAGCTCATGACGGTGTTGCAGCACTTCAATGATTTCAGGATAAACAATGTAAATAACCACTTCCGTTGAGAGAGATGACGAAGCATGTAAGATAAGACATACCTGTTGCGTTCGACACACACAAATATGACCAAGCATTTGCATTATCATAAAAAATATCCCAATATGCCAGGTAGGTGTATACACCGTAATATTTACCTGAATTTTAATTGAATTTGTAACTGCATCAAATACGAATAAGCTGCCTCTTGCGTTATTCCGATCAGATACATTACGTTTTAAGGAGAGAATACGAACATATTCAAATTAAATTCAACAGTTCAACCTTTCTGGAGGCTACAGGGAATTCAAAAATTAGAAGAAAAAAACATAAATATTAAGCTGTCGTGGTAACACATAGTCTTTTTTCAATATAGTAAAGACGCAGGAAATCGCAGTGGATAGTTAGGAAAGATTTGATGTCGAGCGAACCTGTTTATATCAGGAAAAATCTATAGCAACAGCGTTTACATTAAACCATACGAAATACCTGTCTTGGTTCATCGCAAATGCATGGTTCAATAATTACAATCTTA